CTCACCTCAGCCTCCCAAAGCGTGGGATTACAGGCTGAGCCACCGAGCCCGGCTCAGTTTTTCTTTTGATGGACTGTGTTTTTGGTGTCAAGTCTAACTTTTGCCTAGACCCGATTCCCAAAGATTTTCTTCTAAAATTTTCATATTTTGTTTTTAAGTTTGTGATACAATTTGAGTTCATTTTTGTATAAGGTGTGCAGCTTAGGTTGAGGAGTTTGTGTTTTGTTTTTTTGTTTGTTTGTTTTTGAGTTGGAGTCTCACTCTGTCACCCAGACTGGAGTGCAGTGGCCGCTCCCAGCCACCACGGCCTCGACCTGCTGGGCTCCGGCGATCCTTCCACCTCAGCCTTCCAAGTAGCTGGAACGACAGGAACACGCTACCACACTTGTTTTTTTTTTTTTTAATTGTAGAGATGAGATCTCACCAAGTTGCCCGGGTGGGTCTTGAACCCACTGGCTCAGGCAATCCACTCACCTCGGCCTCCCAAAGCACGGGGATTACAGGCTGAGCCACCAAGCTCGGCATGTGTTTTGTTTTGTTTAACTTTTGATGTCTAATTACTCCAGTGCTATTGCTTTTATACCTGTATCAAAAATATGTTTGGCATATTTGCACAGGTTTATTTCTGAGGTTTCTATTGATTATTATATCTGTTCTTCTGCCAATACCACATAGTCTTGATTACTGTAGCTATAGCTATGTAGTAAGCTTTAATATTGAGTAAAGTGATTTCTCCCACATCATTCTTCTTTTTTAACATCGTGTTAGGTTTTCTAGAGCATGTGCCTTTCTGTATACATTGTAGAATAAGCTAGCCTATGTCTATAAAAATCTTCTTGAAAATCTGATATGAATTGGATTAGATCGAAAGATTAATTTGAAAGAGAACTGACATCCTTACTATGTTGGGGCCTTCAACTCATACACATGGGATGTCTTTCCATGGATTAGCTCTTCTTCTATTCTATCCACATTTTGTGATTTTTTAAACATACAGATCCTGTATATGGTTTCTTAAGTGTATACCTAAATATTAATGTTCTTGGCAGTGATTGTAAATTTCATTGTTTTTAAATGTTTCCACACATTCATTGTTAGTATATAGAAATGTGATTATAGCCGGGCGTGGTAGCGCACGCCTGAAGTTCCAGCTACTTGGAAGGCTGAGGCGGAAGGATCTCCGGAGCCCAGCAGGTCGAGGCTGCAGCGGCAGGGAGCGGCCACTACACCCCAGTCTGGGTGACAGAGTGAGACTCCAACTCAAAAAGAAAAATAAAGAAATGTGATTGATTTTTGTACGTTCATCTTGCAAAACAAAATAGAATCTCAAGACCCCCAAACTCACAATGCGAAAGGGAAGCCGGGGAACTGAGCCATGAAAACAACAACAAAACCTGCCTTCCTTTTGTTCCCAAATAGCTAGCTGTAGTGATAAAAAGCCACATACCTCCCCAGATGGCTTACCTCACAAATTGCTCACAAGGAGATTCCTTGTGGGCCCCCACATCTTTTGGAATACACACAACCCTCCCCCATCCCCTCTTGGACTAGTCCTGAGCAGAGTTCTCTTGGTTCTTACCCTGACAATGTAAATTAACAATCTACCTTCACAAGTACAGGTCAAAGACAAGATGCAAAAAGCTCAGGTCAAAGACAAGATGCAAAAAGCTCATCCCTCCGCCCACCTTCTTCCTCTGCTCTATCTTTCCACATGCTTACTTAATCTGTGAAATGTAGATTTACTGAGCCAGAGAGGAATACATAATTGACTGTTCCTCTTCCCACTCTGTTCATTGACTACCCTGCACCTTTTCTCCTCCCTCCGAAGTCT